ACGAGAATTTGGAAGTGTACCTCCTACATACTAAAAACTAAAAACTACTAAAAAGTACATGCTAATTATTGGACAAGAATTAAATTATGGTGTTAGATTTGCTTAAAATATGGTAGAAAATACCTAAAACCTCAAAATGGAAATGTACAATGTTTTTAATAAACCATAAAACATAACCTATTACATGAAATATAGACAGAACAAAGTTACTTTCATAAAAAAATAAAGTTTGGAGGGGTTTTTTTTTGAAAAAAATTTAATGCAGTGTGTGGATCATCTTCAAAAGAATTATGGTTAGCACAGTAAAATTCCAGCAATGGTAGCCACAACTATTTTCATAGTCTAAAATTAGTGAACTATATAAAGAATAGAAATGCCCAGAATACAGTATTAAATGAAATTTTTTTCTTTATATTTTTCTATTTTAATAAAATACAGCAATATCCTTCTCAAACATACACTTTCCCCACCTATTTAGTCAATAAAAAGTGTATTTAGGTAAACCAAAATATAGATATGACCAATATACTGTGGATACAATTTAAAAATCACTTCACAATAAGTTACGGGGACCATCCTTGTTTTTCATCCTAATACAGTGCCTGACAGACAGTAGACGCTCCATATATGTTTAATGAAAGCTAAGCATAATCTATTATTCATATACATTCCAAATACAGACACATTTGCAAAGGTACATAAGTTGGACATAGGCTTTCTGGCTGACTTCATGGGGTCCCACTGATGACTAGGAGTAAATCTTCATATCCACAGAAAACTGGAAAGTTGGTAATTGTCTGGGTAAGGACCAAAAAAACAAAGTCAGGGAAACATGTCACCTAAGTAACAGTTGCTTTACAGAGTTGGTAAAGGCGGGCTAATCATCCCAACACCCTATTGTACCATTCACTCAATGAAATGAAATTTAAGTGCCTTCTGAACATTTATAAATACTTAATGTGAAAAAAATCAGTCTATTCAAAATAAATCACTTTTGTCAAATTCCATCCTATATAAGGATTAGAAAGGAAAAGGGTTTTACTTCTTATTAAGAGTACCACATTGTTAACAGTAATTAATCTGGCTGTTAATAAGAAAAAATGAAAGCCACAGTAGAAATAAGGAAAAAATTCTGAAAAACTTTCATGACTGAAAATTACAGCAGGGAAGAAGGTAAAAAGGAGGAGAGGAAAAGAATTTCATATTTGAGAGTAAAGAAATTCAAATATGTCTGACTCCAAAATTCAAATGGATTATGATAAACAATCAGTGGAGCCTACTGTACACCACATATTGGGTTGAAAGTGAGGGACACAAGTTTCAAGAAAGCCAAAATATTTGTGTCCTTAAGTAGTTCACTAAGGCAAGACTCATAGGTAAACATTTGTAATATAACATGAATTCTATTTCTTTTTTTAATAGTATGGGTCCTTAGTACAAGAACAGTAAGTATATTTCCAAATTAACTGGAAGTTTGGGGGGTGAATAAGCATTAAAGAAGTAGAAATAACTGTCAAAACAGTAATCCACAATGAGTAAAGTGAATGCTTCTTTTAAAGATCAATAACAAATGACTGAATTGTGAATGGATAAATTATAGCTCTAACATTATTTACCTTAATATTCCTTTAAAAATGTGCCTCCATATATAAAACCCTTAAGTGCTATGCACAGAATTATGTATGACAGTTTCTTTTCTGATAAAGGACACTGAGGTAGTTAGTATAGTAGGTGTTAAGAGACCTGAGTTCTGTAACTTCTCAGCCACCTACTCACAGACCCTGGAACTTTTCACAAGTTCCTTCAAGTCTCTGAACTCCAGAAATATGGAAAATGAAGAGAGGAATAAAGTGATGGCCAAGACAACATCTACTTGTAAATTACCATCTTAAACCTCAGTAGTTCTTACTACTTAAAAATTAAAAGCATAACACAAATAAAATAAAAGGCTTTGTAAGCATAAATCATTATCCAACTTAAGTCTGAAATCATCCGACCATGAAAGGGTTACCCTAGGGTTGGTAGGATAAGAAACATTTTCAAAGGGAAACAAATACAAACTCAAAACTAAATTTGACTCATCTGCCCCATGGGCAACTACTACCTCAATTATCTACACAATTTGCTTACTTCAAGATTGATTTTTTTCACTAAGTTCTACTTTGTATCTCTTATGTTAAGTTTGCTGAGGTTTTTAAGGTGAGGACAAATAATCTTAAATGAAGGTGGAATAGTAGTATTAATATTGGGATAGAAACCTGAAGTTGGCACAGATTTCTGCTTAAGTGCACCAATTACACTTCAGAGAAAGGTAAGAAACTACTCAATTTTATAACAAGAATAAGAGAAATAAAACCATATTGTTTACTGCTGCACGGCTTTTCTTCCATGTGTAAATGGCTACTTTCGCACAGAGTAGGTAATTAAAATTTTACAGAACAAGTTTCTGCCTATACGAAGCATCTCAGACACTTAAATATGTATATTATGGTTTTCCTTTATCATTAAGAAAATAAAAAATTAAACATATTCATGTATTTTATGACATTTATGTCGAATAACCTTCTAGATTTAAATTTTTTCAATCCTTTCTAGTTGGTCAAATTGCTGTTTTCATATTGCCAGTCTGATCACAAGATTGCTGTTTTACAGAGGAATATTTTTTGCTGACATAAATTATGGGATCAGAGATACCAATGCAGCTACAAGAAAAAAAAATAATGTGTCTGTGTGTGTGAGAGAGAGACAGAGAGAGACAGACAGAGGCAATATGTGTGTATATATCTCTAAGGAAAGGATAAAGAAATATATACAAAATACCACTTTCCAATGTAAGCCCTAGAAGACCTACATCAGAAACATACTTACTAGCATTTGTGAAAAATACAGCACTGAATGAAAGCTATTCACTAAGAACATACCATGTAAAAATGGAGAATAGTGATTTTTACCCAAATCGTTTTTCTATAAGCTTAAATCTGGATTTACCCTCCAATTTATATGTAACTACAAGTAATATATTACAAATTATAAGTTCATGATTTCTTTGACTCATAAAAATATATTTTAAAAAACTGTCTCCTTTCCCATATAGTAAGCAATTTGATTCAGTACCCCAGGAGATGTAAAACTCATCTCCATTTACAACAGTAAATGAATAATTCAGTTAAAACTGAAAGTGGTACCAATCCACCAAACTATTGATGGAGAAGGTAGGCCTTCCTTGCAGCCAGAACAACATAAAGTTTTCAATGGGGATTGCCTGTTCACACAAGTTACAAAGATTAGAAAAATACACAGTTAATTATGAAATAGCTAATATTTTCATCTTATGGAAAATAAATACTAAGAGCATTTGTAGAAAAGCTAATATCAGTGGCATTTAAACTTTAAGCATTTTGTGCTTTGGACTTTATATACTCATATATAAAACAAATATTTAGCATAAAAAAGCAATAATATAAGTCAAATCCCAACCAAAGGCCTCTATCAACTAAAAATTTGAAATTCTCTATGTAAGTCAGACAAAACGAAAAATGGAGAAATTAGATCGGTAACGCAAAAAACAATCAAGTCTTCCAACGCTCAAGTCAATATCCAAATCACATACAGGACCAAAAAGAGGAAAACACTTAGGTTTACAAATGGATAAGCAGTTCCAATACAATCCGGATCCCGACATTTTCCCACTGAGAAACAAATGCAATAGAGCTTTTCCTGAGGAAAAAGAAAAAAGCTCTCCAAATAATTTTTTTTAAGTGACATCTACAAAGTGTGCCTCTTTCTCTTTCCCTAGCGCCTCATTGGAGGAAGGAGGGGGTTGTTTTTGTATTCTCCCCCACTGGACCAAGGCACAATCAGATGTTAGCTGGAGGAGAGAAACCACTTTTGACAACAGCAAATAAAAATAAAAGTGCCCTTCCTCCCCTGACAGGATGGGCATCCCACCTTACACATCCCTCCCCACTCCAACCCCTCCTTCATTCACCCCCCCCCGCACCACCCCCTCCTCACACCGGAGCTCCACTGCGTATGTGGTTTGGTGCCACTGTTGCCCCGGAGTGAAAGTCAGTGCCAGAGGAAGCCCCCACAGACACACTTACCTTTCCTGCCCCCCACTTTTGAATGCCTTCCCTGGAGCTGTGGAGGATGACACAAAGGGTAATAAAGGGGGGGGGAGTGGAGGAGGAGGAGGAGAGCTGGGGAAGTGGCTGCTCCTGGGTGTAATGAGATGTCTCCAGCCAGGGCCAAGCAGCAGCAGCAGCAGCAGCAGCAGCAGCAGCAGCAGCAGCAACAGCAACAGCAGCAACAGCAGCAGCAGCAGCAGCAGCAGCAGCAGCAGCAGCAGCAGCAGCAGCAGCAGCAGCAGCAGCAAAAGGTCTGTGTTGCTAAGAGGCTTTTGGTCTCTTTCTCTCCTCCTCTCACGGCCAAAGAGAAGGAGGGTGGAGGGGGCTCAGGAGGGAGGCGAGTGGAAGGGTGAGGGGGTATGAGTCTTAGATGGGGTTTTTCGAAGAAGAAGAAACTCCTTCTCCTTCTCTCTCAGGCTCAATCTCTCTCTCAGGGCTCAGGGCTGGAGGGTGGGGGAAGGAACTCAGCCACCTTCCCCCCCACCCCCCTCAATTCAAGGTTGAAGTGGGGTAAAATTAGTGTCCTGTCCCTTTAAAAATAGAAATAAAAGGTGCCCCCCCTTTGCCACAGCCTCTCTCTTCATCATCAGCTGCTGCTGCTGCTGGGGTCTCTCTGCTTGGGGGGGGAGGGGGGGTTCGGGTAGAAGAGATGGGAGAAACTCACTGCGCATGCTCCTCTCTGACGGGAGGCTGGTTGGTTGAAGTCAGGAGGAGGGGGAGGGGAGGAAATGAGATGTTTTCCCAGAAGGCTCCGAGGCACTCGCGACCCGGAAGGCATTGTAGCAGGGGGTAGAGGGGCGGGGTCAGGGAGGAGGAGGAAGTAGCTACTCTTTAACTCCCCCAACTCCCTCTCCCTCCTAAGGGAAAGTGGAGGAGCGGAAGTGGGCGTGGAAGGAGGTCACGTGTTTGGGCAGGAGGGGTTTGAGAGGAGAGGCGGTCTGTGCGCGGGGTATTCTGGGAGTGGTCGTGTACCGCTGGCAGCAGCAGGTGAAGCTGAACGGTGAACGTGGCGGGCTGAGCTGGTGAATAGGTTCCCGCTGTTATGGAATCCCGGCGTTGCCTTCCTAAAGGCAGACTTTTTGCGAGAGGTAATATGAGTTAGGCTGGCTTCACAATGAAGGTCTTTGCGCCCAGGGCGGATGGCGAGTCGAAAGTGGAGGATTGAAAGCTGTGGAGACTGGGAGTGTGGTGAGGAGGCAGGCTTGTCTAGGCCGGGCAGGCCAAAACCTGGCGGGCTCGTTCTGTCCCTTGGCCTCCCCGTGAGCCTGTCGACGAATCGCTGGCTAGTGTAGTGAGTACTGAGAAGACTACTTCTGCATGGGGATTGTAGGTGAGATTTGTGGGTGAAGATAAGAGTGCTGTGAGAGCTGGGCAGCCTGGGCAGGTGAGTCAAATGACATTCCAGAGTTCACAGCAGGAGACCTAGCAGAGAATAGAGAAGTCTGGTGTGGGGATTTCAGCCACCTCCGTGGTAGCATCGCTTATATTGGGTGTAGTGCCTATCATTAGTTACCTTGTAAACCTGTCTGAATTCTGGAGTGTTTGGGGGGAAGGAACAGGCAGGGAAGACTTCAGTCGAATTTCCCTCCAGGTCTCGCGTTGCTGCAAGTCAAGTCAGTGCCTGTTCTCAGAGCCTTGTGTGGGATTGTGTATGTAGTTCTTGATTCTGAATTTTAGGATTGAAAAAGAGAGAAGGGCCGTCGTTAAAGTTTTCCCTTCATGTAGCGTAGATGATAAATTTTTACGATAGGTGTTTGGACTTTTATGTTGAAATAGCACGTTTTTCACCTTCGTGTAGTACAATCTTAAATTTCAGTCTTTCGGGTTTCCTTTGTCTAGGTACTTTGAAGAATTAGCATATTCTTTTTCACATTAATTTCATACGATCTTAATTGAAAACATTCTGATCTTTCAGTTATCTTTTGTAAAGATAATTGGAAGGGTAACGTGTCTGTTTAAGAAATCTATAATTTCTCTTACATATTATGTATTTAATTGTATAATGCGGGTTCTTTGGGATGTGAAAGTTACTATTTTTCTACATTTTATTTTCTACAAGTTTTGGCAGTGGACCCTATTTATGTATCATTGTGTAGTACTACTTTCAGTGTGTATAGTAATCTTGTCAGATGGAATCAAAACTATTCTGTGCCTTAAATTTTTTCATTTGAAAACCAAATGTCTTCCGTCTTGTCATTCAAAAAAAATATAGCAAGGCAATTAATGTGTCTCAGATACAATTGTTAAATCTTTTCCTTAAGATAGAGAATACATAGACAAGTGCATAAAACATAGACGTAATGAACGACTGTGAAGTGAACTGTGTAACCACTACCCAAGTCAGGAAGTAGAACATTGGTAGGTCCTGAGAACTAACTTTTTCTCACCCATTCCTGACATTCCACTTTCCTCCCGAATTTTATCACTTACTGGGTTTTTACGGTAATTATTTACTGCTTTTTTTTTCTAGCATTTATAAACCACCTATCAGCATCCCTAAGTAATATGGATTAATTTTGCTTTTTTTTTTCTATACATAACTGGATTATATATTATTTCATATCTTTTCTAAATTCTCCTGTTGCAGAGGTTTTACCTAGATTGTATATTTAGCTGTGCTTCGTATATTTTTGTATACTGTCTATAGTATTGTGTCTTTTTTGAAATAATCCACAATTTAACAAGTCTAATATTAATGGACATTTTGTATGTTCAGTTTTTAGCAATTACAGATAATGCCACTATGAATGTTCATATACATGGATTCTTACACACATCGCTACATTTTAGACTATGTATATATTCAACTTTACTACATTATGCCACACTTTTCCATGTTGGATATACCAATTTATACTCCCACAGCAGTTTATGATACATCTCTTTATTTTGTAAGTTTTACCAACAATTATGTCTCAATTTTGCCAACCCAATAAATGTAGTTTTAATTTACATTCTCCACGGATGTTGACCACTTTTTAAAAATAAATTATTGGCTGTGTAGATTTCTTCTTTCTGGATTTATCTTTTTAATCATCTAAGTCTTTCATACAGTTTTTCTGTTTGGTTATGTTTTAAAGATTTGTAGCAGTATGGCATGTTTCTTCTCTGTGCTTAGAGCATTACTGTCATTTTAGAATATAACTTACTGTAGATTATTTGTGGCTTATATGCTAAATTGTTGAAACTTGAATTTCATATGTAATTTTAACTACAGGAAGATAGATAGTTCTCTACTTTTGTTATCCATTAAAGTAGCCATTAGCTGGATGTGGCTTTTGAACTCTTGAAATGTGGCTAGTCTGACTGAGAAACTGAATTTTCATGTAGTATGAATTTAAATATGAAAACTGACACTTGTTTGAGTTGTTATACAACCTTTATGCTCGGAACGCTTGAACATTAATCTGCTTTTGTACTGTAAATTTTATAAAAGATACAGAGCAACAGATGTTTTATGATAATTTAGCATATGAATTGTGATTTTCTGTAAATTTAAAATAAAAACCAGCTTTCAAAGACTTAGTATGAGTACCAAATTTAAAAACACCTCAGCTTTTCAATATTATTACATATTAAAATTGTAATTCGTTTCACCTTGTTTTTTGTTTGTTATTTAGTGTGGGAAGCAGAAAATTTTGAATTAATTTTGTGACTGGTTTCTCTTGGACAGCAAGGTACTCAGCTATCAGATATTACCTGCTTTCTTTGTTCTTAATATCTTACTGCATTTCTAACTGTTCCTTTCAGTGTAGTCTTCAGAAGTTCCTTAATGCAAACAATTAAGAATTTGACCAGTTATAAACCAGTGTTAACACCTCTTTTTATTTTATGAAGAATTCTTTTCAAGAAAGAATGTCCCCAACTCCTTAGGTGTTTACCTCAGAAAAAGGCTGTTAAAGTAACATATGATCATTTATGTGTTTTTAAATTATCATTTTTTCATTCCCATCCACCAGTTTCACAAATATCTTTGTAAGAATTATTCTAGTAAATTTAATCTTCCCCTTTGTAAGTTTTGCCTGCAAAATGATTGATAAGTGGTGTGCTTTTATATTTTGAACAAATGGATATAAAACTTACTCATAGTTTTTGTATGTCTATCTGCTAATAGAATAGAAAGTCCTATTTAAAAGTTCTTAATGTATAAATGTGCAATTTTTTGTAATAGTTTCGGTCACAAGATCAGTTAAACATTTTTAAAATGTGCTTTGTGTGTAACACATTTCTTTCAAAAAGCAGTTTATTTCCTACTTTGATCTTGAAATTCTAAATGAAGTCATTTTTATTTGCTAAGCAACATACTGTTGACTAGAAGCCACTTTTCATTCCCAGAAAGATGTGCAGTTGGAACAGCTGGACTTCTGTATTTCACTTTCAGAGTGATACACGTATCAAATTGAGCAAATCAACTGGATTCAGTAATTATTCACAAGTTGGCCCATTTACCTACGTTGTGTATTAATGAGCTGAAAGCAAATAAATATGTGATAGTACCACTTACCCTACTTTTTTTCTTTGCACAGAATACCTTAGGTATTGATCTACTGAATAAGAACTTTATTAAATCAATTAGATAACTTTAAAACTAAATGAATAGGGTATATACACACTTTTCTCATGTAAGGATTTTAACATTCAGTTTTATACCTCCTACTATTCTTTGTAGTGTAGACTTCATCTCTATTTGCTTTTTTCTTTCATTGTCATTCCACTTGAAACAGTACCTGTATAAGATACCTACGCTACTCAGTTTGCAGTAACCAAAGAAAAAAAAGTTGTCCTTTTTTTGTAATACTTGAATCAAAAGGAAGATTGTTTTATTGTACTTTAAAAATTTTTTCCTATTTATGTAGAGTGTTTTGTTATTTAGCTCAGATGCTTTTCTCAAACAGTTTGAGCCAGTGATTCTGTAATTCTGTTTTTGGTTTTTACCTTAAGATACTTACAGGAAAAATAGTAAGATATATGTGTAAATATACTTTCTGTGTAGTTGTCTATGTTTTATATACAAAAATGTGGAAAGTTGTTCATGTTCTTTTAAATGACAAATATTTTAAAGCAGTATTAGAGGATCCTTTTGGTGAAGGGGAGGGGAGAGTAGGGCATGACCAATAGAAGTTTTGCTTGTATTCAGTTTTCCTGAATTTAACAAAACAGATTATAGGAGTTTGCTAAATTTTGGATATTTATTAAATCCAAAAGAAAATATTCTCAAAGATTCTAATCTATGTTTTTTTAAAAATTTCTCTTTTTTGTGGTGCATGTTTCAATTCCAGGTGTCTCCCTACTCTGAAAATTAGCACACTTAGGCATCTTCTGCATTTTTCATCTTTGTTGTATAAATTATTAACATATTGTCAAAATATATTTGCCACCTATTTGCAACTATAATTTTTTTTATATTTTTTTTGTTTACTTTTATTTCTTTTAGTGTATTAAAAGATCACCACAGGATAGGTCTGTGTGTGTGTATTTGCATGTATAATTGTTTCAAATCATACTGGATTTCAGTATTGAGTTCTCTAGATTCCCCAGCCCACACCATCCCCCCAAACACACACACACACAAGGCCTCCTTCTTCTTTCTTTGCTTGCTTTCTGGTGGTGCTGGGGATTGAATCCAGGGCCATAAGCATAGTAGGCACATTCAGTACCACTGAGTTATAGCCACAGTGCCAATAAGGCTTTTATTTGCTTTATCTACTAAGTATATTCATGCTTGATAAGGGTGTACCTTTTACCTTTATATGTGTATGACATCTTCGCTAAATGAGTTAAAATCTCTTTTAAAACTTTGTAAATATCTTTTCATTATACTTCAACAATTATTCTTTTACCTGTAAGTTTTTCTGCTTGGTGGCCTGACACATTCTTTACTCTTAGAATTTTAATAATTGAATTAGAATTTCTGTCAGTTGATGTTTTTCCACATTTGGCATATCGGTGAGAAATTTGCGGATTTTGTTTGCCTGTACAGCTTTTGAAAGTGAGGATAAAGCTGGGAAATGTGTTTTTGTAGAATTTTCTAGGCCTTTATTTGTTTTTGTCATTAGCTTATGCCTGCCAGGACTTTTTTGTTTATGTG